CCTTTCCAAACGGTACTGGGCGCTCTTCGCCCGCCGCGTGTGGCCCGAGGCCTGTGAGCAGGACGAGGAGGCCGCCGCGGGGCCGCAGGGTAAGACCGTCCCGGGGTGCGCTCGGCTCAGCGGAAAGGGGCGCCGCTGTCCAAACTCGCCCCTGTCCTGCTTCGTCGTCCTCAGGGTCACCTGGCAGGAGCCTTAGCAGCCGCTTTACTGCGGTGCCCAGCCTCGGGGTGGGGGGAGGGGGGTCAGGAAGCCCTATCGCTGCCGCCCCATCCCTGGCGCTTCCGCCTTATGCAGACGATAGGCCAAGGGCTCCCCCAACCCTATGGCCGGGTCATGCCTCCTCCAGGCAGTTCACGCCTTCTTGATGGCTTAAAGGCCAGGTCCTCGTTGGGTACACCCAAGTCCCTCTTCCCCTGCTGCGTAAGGAGTCAGAGTCCCGGCTGGGACTCCCAGCCCTAATTTCTGGTTCCTGTTCTGTCACTGACAAATGATGTGGCAGAGTTTTCACGTCACCGTCACAGACCAGACGATCTCTGAGGCTCCTTGTGGTCTTTGTCAGTAATTCTAGGTCCAGTAATACTGCTGTGATGGTGGGTAGTCCTGTAATGGGGCTCCAGACATCATTCATTTAAATCAAAAGATTTCTAATTTCCAGCGAATGGCTGTTCTGTTTTTGCCAATGCTTAGTATATTCAAGTTGATATTTGGCAAAAGGATTGAGACGCCTTTGGGGTTGGCTGTGATGAGGTGAATTTGGAAACCAGAGCCAGTAGGAAGAATGATCATCGCCAGCTCTGTCTCCCAGTCAGAGTCCTGGCAGCAAGGTCTGGGCTTCTCACACTCTGGTGTGAGCTTAAGGCGTGTTTGTTGAGTCAGTTGAGCCTCTACTGGAGCTGCACCTACAGCAAAGCCATCAGCTGCCTCAAAGCTGTTGGTGCCCACTTGTGCCCATTTCCTGGCAAGGCAGAGGAAGGCCCCGGGGCTAGCGGTGAGGAGTGGCTGGATGGAGGAAGAAGAACTGCCCTCCCTCTTGGCCCCAGGCTCTGTCCCTGTCTCACGGATCCTCCTCTTCCAGGCTGGTGCCTTCCCCTGTTGAGCCGGCAGTACCTGGATGCCCTGATCTCGTGGTACTGCAGCTTCCAGGACTGCTGCGGGGGTGGGGACTGCAGGATCACCAACAACTTCACAGGTTGGAACTTGCATGGCGCAAAGGGGCTGGGACCTGGGGGGAGGGGAGGCAGTTCGGGGAAATGGCTATGGTGCCAGGGACTCCTCGTCACCCTGCCCACAGCTGGCGGCACACCCTCCCTGTGCCCACCCCAGCTCCCAGCAGCACCCGTCTCCAACCCCACTGGCTGAGAGGAAGTAAGGCCCAGCAGAGGACTGCACACACTAGCTGCCCTCAGCAGATGTTTGCCGAATTGAATTAAGATGAATAAAATGAGGGTGTCTCCATAAAATATTTGTGGAGTCCTGAAGCTTCCATGTGGGAGCAGTCTTACAGGCATGGGGGCTGGGACCCCTCCTCCAGACAGGTCCCTGCTAACCATGCGGATGCGGGGGCGGGGGACAGGTCTTCAGGACCTTCAGAAAAGGTGATTCCATTCTCTCCCTAAGTTTATCTTGATTTCTCAGACTCTTCAGAAAATAGCCCTTGGGTCTCTTCTGCTGCTAGGTCTGCCCAGTGGCTTGTTCAGAGGCCACATAGGATGGAAACATGATCCCACCTCAGAGATGTTCAGAGTTGCTCACTCTCTGCCATTGCTGAACCTGGGGGAGCTGTACCTGTGTGCACCTCTCACTGTCGCCTCCTCTCGGCCGTCCCTAGGCCTGGAGTCAGACCTGCGTGTGTGCCTGCACGGCCAGCATCTGGCCCAGGAGCTGGTTCTGACAACAGTGAGGAGCTACTTAGAGCTGCCCCGTCCAGACAAGGCCCTGGCTCTGTCGTTCCACGGCTGGTCTGGCACAGGCAAGAACTTCGTGGCTCGGATGCTGGCAGAGAACCTGTACCGGGATGGGCTGAGGAGTGACTGTGTCAAGTTGTTCATCACCACATTGCACTTCCCCCACTCCAAGGACTTGGACCTATACAAGGTGAGGCCCGGCAGTGCTGGGCAGCTCTGCGGGCCGGGCAGGGGCCGGAGGAGGCTCGGACAGCCCGAGGAGCAGCTCTGTGCCGCGAGGGAGACCCTGAAACCAGCCTTCCTTGCAAGGGTGGGCCCCGGAGAAGCCCAGGTGAGGGGGTTCAGGGACAAGGGGCTGTTTCGGCAGAACCCGTAACCCACAGAGACATCCCTTCGACACAGATGAGGCCCCGAACATGTGGAGGAAAGACTGATGTTGCAAACACCAGTCAGCCCGAGCTGTCTCCTTACCAGCCAGACGTTAACTTTTCTGTCATAGAAACAGTGGAAATGTCACAGGAGATGTGGAACAGAGGAAGGCAAAAACTTTATCATAATCTCCCCACACGGACACAACCAGTTAGCATTTTGGCATACTTCAGGCCCTTCCCTTATGCTATTTTATGTCATTGTAGTTATATTGGACAGAAAGTTACATATCCTTTTGTAAAAAGACATAAGTGATTTTTCATGTCTTCCCCAAATCCCTCAAAGGCCAACAAGTAGAGACACAAAAATTGTCTTCGTCGCTCTGCTATTTTGGGTTCTTCCACTGAGACATGTATTTAAAGCAAGCCAGACAGTGAGCATAACCCCACTGTGGTGTAACATATGACCGTGTCTGGCTTTGGCTTTAAGTTCCAACGTTTGGAGTGTGATAACCTAGGAAGATTATGTAAGCCTTTGAGACTGCCTGAGTCACCTGGCATCTGCAGTGTGGCCAGGGGTTGGTGAACTGTCCTAGGGGCAGGTGGCTGCGGCAAAACTGCTGTCTCAGCTTCCTCACTGTGAAAACTGACGTGTGCACACACTCAGCCTGCATGCGCCTCTCACACATGCACTCAGGTGATGGACAGAAGCCAGCATCCAGGGAGGTGGACAGTGAGTACAGGACCTGCTAAAACCCCACCACAAGTGGGGGCACAAAAATTGTCTTTGTCGCTCTGCTGTTTGGGGGCAGGAGCAGCCTATTCTCCTGGTGCACCCTGCAGAGGTGCACCTTTCCAGCGGCGGGCTACCTTGCCTGGATGGGGAACCCCAGTTAGTTAGGAGCTGGCTGGGTCCCTGACAGGTCCTCCCTCAGACTTCTCCTGAGTTCCCAGCCCAGCCTGGGTGCCAGCGGGAACTCTGCTCCTAGGAGCTCAAGAGGGGACTGTGGCCGCTTCTGGCCTGTCTCCACCTATCACCCCTGTACTAGGGCTTGACCGCTCCCCCTGGGGAGGGTGAGTTGGGGCCTCATCGTGGAGGGGAGGGAGCAGGCCCTCTCCCTCCCAGGCTGTACCTTTCAAACCTCTGGGAGAATCACCAGGGAAGATCAAGAGTCACTTGGGAAGCATGTTAGAGGCGCTGCCTAGCCCCACCCCCGGCGTTGGCATTCGGGTTCCTGGGAGAGCCCAGCCCCAGGCGACACCCTGGGGAACCGGGCCTGGCAAGGGCCCTCCAAGATGGAGGGTGGGCACGTGGCTCGCCAACAGCTCCCTGTACTCTGCAGGAGTGGCTGACAGACCAGATGAGGGAGACGCAGGAGCACTGCCACCAGACCCTGTTCGTTTTCGACGAGGCAGAGAAGCTGCACCCAGGGCTGCTGGAGGCCCTCGGGCCACACCTGGAACTCCAGGCCCCTGACAACCTCAGGGCTGAGCCTCCGAGGACCATCTTTCTTTTCCTCAGGTAAGGTCCGAAGAACAGCAGCCATGAGGACCAGGCAAGGAAGAGTCTTCTGTCCAGGTGCCACACATGCCAGGCTTGGGGGCTGTCACCTGGCACGTAAGCTGGCGGTGGGGGGCCTCCCCGCCCTCCTAGGCCGCAGACCTTTCCACAGGGGAAGAGCACAGCTCCAGGGGGAAAAGCAGAAGCCTGGCTGCCAGGGTGCAGGGAGCGGGGCCTTAGGCCTTGGCAGACCTGAAGGACTCCCCCTCGCACAGTGGCACCAAGGCCAGGCGCCCCTCAGCCAGAAGGGCACTAGGGTTGGCTTTTCATCTTAGAAGGGCGCTAAGGTCGGCTTTTCTTTAACTGAGGTGTGACTGCCTTGTAACAGTGTAACAGCTTCAGGTGTACAACATGATGGCTATTTGCATATACAGGCACCTCATTTTGTGCTTTGCTTTTCTTCCAAATTGAAGGCAAACCCTCCACCAGCAAAAAGATTGGCTCACTTTATTGCGGTACCAAACCCGCAGTATCTCCAAGGTCTGCCAGTCCTGTGATGGTCACCGCAGTAAGTCTGGTTCACATCTGTCACCACACACTTTTCTCTTGTGATGAGAACTTTTAAGACGCACTCTCAGCAGCTTTTAAACACGCAGCTCAGTGCTGACTCGCCGCCATGCTGTGCACTTCAGCCCCAGGGCTTATTTTGTAATGAAGTTAGTACCCGTCGATCCTCCCCGCACCCCGTCTGTTCCCTGTATCTATGAGCTTGTTTTTTGTTGTTGTTTTAGATTCCACATGTGAGATTTAGTGTTCATCTTTCTCCGTCTGACTTACTTCACATAGCATAATGCCCTCAAAGTTCCCCCGTATTACCGCATTGGCGAGATTTCACTGTCTTTATGGCTGAGTAGTATTCTGTTGTGTGTATACCACATTTTCTTTCTTTCTTTCTTTCCGTGGGTGGACACTTAGGTTGCTTCCATATCTTGGCTGTTATAAATAACGCTTCAGTGAACGGAGGAGTGCCTGTGTTTTCAAGTTAGTGTTTTTGTTTTCTTTGGATGAATGCACAGAAGTGGAATTGCTGAATCACGTCGTATTTTTGTTTTTTTGAGGCACCTCCATACTGTTTTCCATAGTTACATTCTCACCAATGGGGTGTAAGGGTTCCCTTGTCTCCGCGTCTTTGCCAGGATTTATTTCGCTTTTGATAAGAACCATTTAAAAAGGTGTGAGGCGCAATCTCATTGTGGTTTTGGTTTGCATTTCCCTGATTGGTGATGTCAAGCACCTTTTCATGTACCTATTGGCCATCTGTATGTTGTCTTGGAAAATATTCGGAGTCTCTGCCTATTTTTAATCAGATTGGGGTTTTTTGCTATCCAGTTGTATGAGTTCTTTATTTTGGATATATGATTTGCAAGTATCTTTTCATTTTGTTGACGGTTTCCCTTGCTGTGCAAACTTTTTAGTTTGATGTAGTCCCATTTAGTTTTGCTTGTTGTCTTTGCTTTTGGAGTCAGATCCAAAAATTCAAGACCAACGTCAAAGAGCTTACTGCCTATGTTTTCTTCTAGGAGTTTATGGTTTCAGGTCTTAACATTTGAGTCTTTCATTAATTTTGAGTTAATTTTTGCTTGTGGTACAAAATAGTTTCATTTGCTGTAAACTGACCACACGTGCGTGGGTTTATTGATCTGTGTTTTTGTGCCCCTAGCATACATACAGTTTTGATTACTGTAGCTTTCTAATGTGACCTAGGTGACTCTAGACAAATGTTTGCCTTTGTAGTATTTTGACCTTCTCCCCCCAACCCCAAGTGGGCCTCTGCTACCCCAGGATGCAGAGGCCAAGCTGGTGCTTGGAAAGGACACCACACCTGTGACAGGGATGCAGCCTTGGTGCCTGCTGTCCCCTAAACCCTGAAGGGTTTCAGGTATTCTAATGGTGGGTGCAGGAAGACAGTGTATTTGAGGCTGTTAAAGAACGAAACTTCAGTCGAGTAAATTTGCAGATCTAAGGAGCTTTATTGAGTGATTCATCCCATCTTGTGAGCAGAGGTGCTCTGAGAAGGGGACAGTATAGGCAGAAACTGGACAGGAAAAAAAAACTAGCAAAGAAAGGATTGTGATTGTATGGGGGAAGGTGAGGGGGTCTCAGCAGGGAGATGGCAGGAGTTTGGGGGACAGATAGCCTTGTTGGTACTGACCGGAAAACCCCAGACTCCAGTCCTGGAGAAGCCTGAAGCTGCACCTAAGTCAGGTAACAAGTCCAGTCTCGGCGCCAGGGGCTTCGGCACAGTGACTCCGTTTCTGGCCTGTGGTTTTCTCTGTAACAAGTTTCTGGACTTGATTTCTGCAACACGGGGTGGTGACTCTAAAGAAAAGCACAGATGCTCTGAGCTGCGTGCACGGGTGTAAGGCCAGTAGTTTTTTCAGGATGAAATTCCCAAACCTGCTATTTGAGGTAAGGTGCGAGTGGTTTTGGGGGGGCTGGCCCTGTGGTGGCATCTAAAGCAGGGAGTATAATGAGGACCAGAGAACCCCCGAGCCAGGCACGAGAACCCTAACATCGACGACTGTCACCCATTTCCTTGGAGGCTGCAAACAGGTCACAGGTGTTCAAAGCTATTGTCCTATTCACACTGCAGCCAGAAAGTGGAGGGAAGTGAGAGGCTGTTTTCAGTCAAAAAACAGAAAGGACTTGCACCCCGCTGCCCAGAACGTGCTGATGGACCCCTGCACCTCAGGGGCATCTGAACCGGTCTCGTCCAGTTCTTCCCTTTTACAAACAAGGACACTAAGGCTCTGCGACTAATGACTGAGCCTGATCTGTCCTTTAGAAAAGACTTAGCGGGCGGGGTTGGTTACTAGAGTTCTGGAGGCCTCTGAGTCCCCTTCTGTTGGGGTGTGAGGGCGAGTCTCTAAAGGTGCCCCAGGAAGGCAACATCTTAAGGTTGGTGCCAGTGTGGCGGTCCCTGAGGAGCTGAAGAGCAGGGGAGGAATGAGAGGAGGGGCCCCGCTTATGTCCTGGGAGGTGAGATGAAGCCCGTAACATGGAGAAAGAGGAAATGGTGGCTGTGGGAGAAAATGAGGTAAATTCAGGAGGGAGGGAGAGAGAGAACAGATGAAGGTGCGGAGGTGTCCAGTTTGATAAGCAGCTGCTGAGCACCTGAGACGTGCTAAGCAAGGTGGTTACACAGGTGGGGAAGGCACTGGGGTCCTCTCCCCTGCGCCGGCCTCCAGCCTCAGCAAACCCGCCTCACGTGGGGACCTAGGACCGGGCAGTCCGAGGGCAGGCCTTACCTCGGCTGATGCGATCCGCGGCCACTCGTTTGCACAGACGACCTTCCCGGCAGCAAGGGGCATGCTTTCCTCCATGCAGGGGTCAGGGGCCATCTGGCTGAGCACCTGAACTTGAACAAGGACGTGGGGGGCTCATGGCCCCTACAGGAAGGAGGCACTGGCTTCCGTGCAGGGAGGACACCTGCCCTGGCCTCTCCTCACGGACTGGTGGCGGCAGGAAGAGAACAAGTCAGAGCTTCGTGAAGGGAGACTGGGTCCCCACACCCCTACTCTGCTGGGCCTGAGGAAAAAGCAGGGGCAGAACGTGCGTTAAGGGGCTGGCAGGAGGCAGTGAGGGGGGGCGGGAGCGGAGGCGGCGGAAGCGTTGCCACCTCCTTCCCAGCACCCCTGCTGCTGGCACCAAGGTGTCTTCGTACCCCTTTTCTCCATCTGTCTAACCCAGTCCTCTTTCCTGTGCTTCAGACCCCAAATTCCAGTTGCCTAATGACATCACGACCCCCTAGAGAAATCACAGGCAAGTGCAGCACACACGTGTACGCCCACCCTCGGCACCCCGCCCCTGGGACGGTGGCGGGGCCGCAGGCTGCTCAAGGCAAACACTGTGGTGACCTTCCGCTTCTCACAGCAGCAGTTACGGGGGTCCTGCTGAGTGTGTCTCCTAAACTGATTCTTAAATCCTCCTCCCTAGCCCCTCTCCAGCGCCTTCCCCTCTAAATACAGACTATTACGAAAAGCTGCCCAGCCAGCTTTCTGCAACGCTCCCCTGCCGCGTCAGCCCAGGGACGCTCCCAGGGAAGGAGGACTGGCCAGGGCGCTCCGCGGCCTTCCGATCCATGCACGCCACCAGGGCCACCTTGCCCAGCCACAGCCCACTTTCCAGCCTCCACTCTGCGGCCCTGAACCTCGCAGCTTCCCTGACCCAGGCCTGAGGCTCAGCGCTCCATCTGCATTTGTGCAGAAGCCTCATTCTCCCTGGGCCTTAGCTGACCCTCCATTAGCACTTGCCACACTGTCCTGGAATCACAGGCCTCTCTTTCCACACATCCTACCATCGCTGTGGTCCCTGCACCGGGCCCAGTCTCAGTGTGTCAGAAGGGAATGAGGCAGGGAGGACGGGTGGCAAAGCCAGGACAGTCTTACCTTTGGGTTGTGACAAGATCTCCTGGGGGAGCAGAGGCCCCGGCCGCTCAACCTCCATTCTCCAGTGCAGTGGCTTTACTGGTCAAGTCACCCATTGGAACCTAAATATAAAAAAACCTTTTAACAAGCTCTTGTCTCTTTCAGTAACCTTGGGGGCAGCGTCATCAATGAGGTGGTCCTGAGGCTGCTTGAGGCTGGCTGGTCCCGGGAAGAAATCACAATGGACCAGCTGGCGCCCCAGCTCCAGGCTGAGATCGTGGCATCCACAGGTAACTGACTCCCGGCGGCACAGAAAACAAGCCTCTGGTGAGAGCCGCAGGCGGAAGATGCCATGTGTGTGGTGGGGATGTGTGCTCAGGAGGCGGACAGGGCGCCAGGACCACAGGACACTCCATAGCGGTCATCTCGTTGTCAGCTTTAGGTGGGCACGAGAGAAGTGCCACGACAGCCGAACTCTTTTTCTGAAAATGCTTTGAAAAAGAGTATTTGCCCCAGCCCTGGAAACACAGGCAGTGGCCTGTGGCCCCTGAGTCAGTCTCTGCGAGCAGCTCAGGGACGGCCCGTCAGAGGTCGGGCCGCTCCCCCTTGTGTGCACCTGGCCGTCACAGCCCGCTCTGCCGCTTCACCAGTGGCACTTGGACATCGTCAACCACGGTGCTCTCTCCAAAAGGAGGCAGAGCTGCAGGGAGTCCCTGATGCTCCCTGCGGTGGCAGGAGAGCGAGCCCTGCCCAGGCCAGACCCCCATGTAACTACGATCTTGATTTCAGACAGCGGCTTTGGCCACAGCCGTCTTGTGAAGGACAACCTGATTGACTTCTTTGTCCCCTTCCTGCCACTGGAGTACCGCCATGTGAGGCTGTGTGCACGCGATGCTTTCCTGAGCCAGAAGATCCCATACACAGAGGAGGACCTGGACGAAATCGCCAACATGATGGTGTACATCCCCCAGGAGAAAAAAATCTTCTCTTCCCAGGGCTGCAAATCGATTTCCCAGAGAATTAACTATTTCTTACCTTGAGGGTTGGATGAAAATGTCCCGAAGCTGCCTTCCTTCCACTAACAGGACCCTGAAGCCAGCTGGCACCTCCACGCTCCAGCACACAGGTACTGTGTAAAAGGCAGGCCTTAAATCAGAAGTCGAGCCAATTTGTAAAATCACTTGGTGCCTTGAAGAGCCACAATCCAAAGTGGTGGTGGCTGGAGGAAGCCACCTGGGACTCAAATCCCAAGGGCTTATGAGCATCTCAGTTCTTGCCTGCAGCTGCTCGCACTCGGGCGTGGGGCCTGCGGTGCCAGAGCATCAGTGGCAGGGAGGGGAAGAGGTGTGCTGCTTACGGGCGGCAGAGCCTGCGCCTCGGGTGCGCTGGCTCGGGGGTCATTTATTCCCGCGGGAAGCCGAGCAGCTGTCAGCAGATCAGCAAAGAGCCTCAGGCTGAAGTAAAAGGTGCACAGAATCATCTTTTTTAAAAAATCATGCCAGTGTAAACTAAGATTTGTTCTGCTTTGCAGATTTGAAGATTTTTAAAGTTAAACATTAAAACTTTGTATTTTTCTAAAAACCTTCAGCCTGATTTCTTCACGAGACCTAGTAGTACTGTTCACTCAACAGAATTCTGAACGCCAGGTAACACGCACAAGCGCAGGCGCGGGCACTCACCGGGCCTACAGGCGACCGGTCTGCCACCTGACTTCCGCTGCTTTGCTGAGCTGGGTTACTTCGACCACGTACTGAGAAGGCCCCCTCCCATAGCATATTGGTCTCATGTGTGAAAACATCTCCCAGCTTTAAAAAGAAAGTCGTTTCTGAGGACTGAATGGCCAAGTTCAGTTGTGCCCCTACACAGGAGGTGCTCACGTGTTTTTTCCTTCTCTTGGTCTTCCTTTGATGCTTCCAGAACCTTTTATATTTGTCATCACTTCAGGTAGCATCTCTTATTTGAAACCCTCCCCAACTTTCTCACCATTCACCTTGCTGAAACGCTTCTGTCTCCACCCCACCTCAGGCTTCACTGCACTCATCCACTCCAACACCTGCCTGTTGGCGTCCAGCCGGAGCCACGCCAGGCACTTGGGAAATACTCGCAGTGCATGAAAGGAGCGGAGTTCCACGCCTCTCACGGGACCAAAGCACACCTGGCCTAATGGCACAATAAAACGGGGGCCGGTTTAGCTGCCGGAGCATCCTGGGAATACACAGGCCGCCCGACAGCAGTGCATGTTCCCGCTCTAAACCCAACATACACTTTAAGAGGCACATTCTCCAGCTTTAAGTCTCAGAGCCACAGAACAGCTGACGTCCTCTTAGCACTGGCCAGCCATGTTCCATGTCACAAATCTGGGGTCTAAGCTCCTCACACTGCAGGAACCAAGACGAGCAGGGCGCACAGTCGCCCGAGCACTTCTACGAATCAGATTGCTGAGTGCTGGGGCTCGGCCGCCTGCCACTGTGAGGCCGTGGAATGCGGTCACCCTCGGCTTAACCTTGGCTTACACTTTGGCAAAGTGAGTGTCACTGGACTTACCTCAGAGGGTTGCTGTGAGGATTAAATTAGTTGATCCTTATGAAGTGCTCAGGATGCAGAGCTTTAGGCGTTTACCAACGGACACCTGGTAAACCCGCTGTCGGTGGCACCGCGGCTGGGCCTCAGCCTCTGTCTGGTCCTCGGCTCCCTGCTGGCCGAGGCTGGTTTCAGGTAACTGACGTCTGAGGACTCACCTGCCGTGCCACGCCCGGTGCTAGGCCCTCTGCAGCTGCCATCGTGTGTCATCCTAACACTGTAACAGACACCAAATTCATCACTTAATGAATGCGAAAATGCGGGCTGAGGTTACGTGTCCCGCACAGTCACGAAGTTCTAGTCACTGGAGCGGTCAGGGTTCGACCCAGGTGGTCCAACCCCAGCACCGATACTTTGCAGACTTGCTTCTAATTTCCAGATTTCCTCAGCAAAAATGAAATGAGAGAACATTTCCTTGGCAAATGGCACAGCCTCAGGTGTGGAGAACGTCACCGTAACACAGAGGGAGGGGATACAGTGAGGGGTCTTCTCTGCAAACTGAAACAGCTCCCCCCGCCCCCCCAACCCAAAAGTGAGCGGGAGAGAAGGGTGGAAAAGGGGTATGTGGGGAGGGGCATAGGCTGGCGGCCGACAGCCATTCTAACTGGACCTCACGTGGGCACCGCTGGAGTCTACCCTACTCATACCTAATTAAAACCTGACTTCTAAAAGCAATGATTCATTTCTTAAAAAAAAAAATTGAAGACTAAGTCAAAGAAGAATAGAATGTTCCCTGGGAGGTTCTATACTTACTCTATTGATACTACTTTGGCTCAAAACATTTTTATAGCTTAATTTGCAGTTGTCCTCAAAACGGACTTTGAGAAAATTAAATCTCATTTTACAGTCACCTCACTCACACTGGATGGATGGACACACACGCGCACACACACACTACCCACCTTCTGTACCAGCTGGGTTCCAAATGATGCCTTTGGCCATTTCCAAAAATGTAATCCGTCACAGGATGAGTATTCACCCCCACAGAGGACATTCTGAAGAATGTGCCAGAGGGATGCTTGCTAAAATCAGCTTCTTTACCTTACAGACATCTGTTTTATGTAGAGACCAATTCTGCTTAGATTCTCTGTCAGTTAAAATTACAGGAGAAAACTCCAAGCACAAGCCTACTTTTGCCAATAAAATATTGCAACCTTTATTTAAAATAAAACACAAGTTGGCAAGCCTTGTGAGACAACAGGCAGACAGCATTCCCCTTTCAGGGGCCTCATTTATTTACATCAAGTTTAACACTGTTAGCAGTTCACAGTCAGACAATAGGGTGAGAATTAAGTTAGAAAAACAAAACACCTGAAAATATATTACAATAACAAGAACAAATACCTGACAACACCTTAGTGTGACCCATGCCTGATGCGTTTTCAGTTAAATCCCATGTTGTCTCACTGTGTCTCCTTAGCAATGCACAGTGCCAGGCCCTCCAGACAGCACCCTCTGTGCACCCACCACACACACACCCGCAGAGCGTGACCTTTGGTATAAACATTAAACGAGTTTTAAAGAATCTGGTTCATACGTTTTAAGACAAAATTCTGTCAACCACTACAAAATATTCAAACTTATTTTTGCCAAGCAAACATGAAACCAGGGTTCTCCACCCATAGTCATTATAGAATCAGATTGCAAAGAAGGAAGCGTGTCCGGTGGACACGGGGTTCTGAGCACGCGAACAGCTCGGCCAGCCTGGTCAGAGCAGGCACACCGGGGGCGGGGCACAGCTCCCACTCGCCAGAGAGAGGTCGGTCAGCTCCCTGCACTTGGCCCTGCCTTCCCCAGCGAGCACGACGACAGTGTACGAATGTAACGTGGACATGATGCGGACCCTCGACGCATAGCTGAGATCTGAGGGTTTTCGAACATACACCCTAAAAAACTAAGATGAGTACCTCAGTGTCTCTTCTCGTTTTACTAATTTTTCTGGAGGACAATCAGCCTAATCAAGGCGACTGCTCAAGATCTCAGAAAATGTCTCTCATAAGAGGCCCTCAAGTACAGTGGCCAAAGTGAAAAACAGCTTGTCGAAATGGAGGACGGTGGGCTTGTCACGCCTTCAGCTACCAGGAACATCTCTCGGCACTCCTGCCGCTCACAGCACATGGCGTGGTGCTTCTGAATGGTGTGGAGCAGTATCTGAGATTCGCCGATGACCCTGAAGCATCGCAGCATCCTGCAATATCTTCTGAATCAAGACTACGTCTGGCATACCTGTATTATTACTGTTTTAACTGCTAAAAATTAAGTACCCTTATATATGAAAATTTCATTAACAAGAAGTCCTGTTCTCCAACTAAAGTTCATAGTGCTTAACTGCATAATTTAAAACTCCCATCTTGAGGCTCAGAAGCAAATCTAAACAAGGTCCAACTACATAAACTCTACTTCCTTTCATAAAGCCTGCTAGCGTGTGACAGTTCGCGACTACCGTCCGAAAGAACTAGAATGCTCCAAGACCTCAAGGCCTGCATGACAGCTCAGCAGCTCCAAGCAACACGCAGGACCCAGAAATGAGCTGCTTCCAACTGGGAACCTCGGAGAACAGCCCGGCGGCGGGGGGGAAGGGGGGGTGGGATTGTCCAGGGTGCGGTCTGAGGACCCGCGTTGGGCCTCAGCCTTCTGACTTTAAGGAGACATCCTGAGCCTTCGGTGGTCTGCAGGTTCAAAGATCTGCCCACACACCACCTGTGACCTCTGCTGAGTTAATGGGGCCTTGCTACCATGTGCAGGTCATGCAGCAATGGGGAGGTTAAACGCTATACTTTACAGGAGAATGAAACAATTTCAAATTTATAATTGGACATAGGAGCAAAGAAGGGAAGCCGGAGGGAGCGAAGGGTCCGATCAGAGCACCCTTCCTCCAGCTCGCCCAGCAGGTGGAGAAAAGCAGCAGCGAGACAGATCATCCCGTGCACAGAAAGTATCTCAAGTGGGGATGCACGCTGACTGGCGCTCTGAGCCACTGCTGCCCACGAAGGTCACTTCTACAGTTCTAGTTTGATAACCGTGCAACATCAACCAGCCAACAAGTCGTTCCTTCTGCACAATGTGTAGAGTCCATCTTTGAAGGCACAGTCCTCTGAGAGTGACCTCTACTGCTCTCAGCCAGCCTCAAATCAGGACGACCTGCCCAGGCCTCCCCTGGGCATCTTTTCGCCCTATCACAGGATGGAGCCTTCCCTGACTGCCTGTCCTTTGGGTCCAGGACACTGAGCCGGAAGTGAAGGGACCACCATCTTGCTCGTGCATTATCTCAGGACAGCGCACAACCCTCAGGTGGGCAGACGAGCAGCGGCGGACCCAGAGCAGAAGTCATCTTTTTTGGACATTGCAGTGAACTCACAAAAGAAAGGTTGGCACTAAGGCTGTCACGGGGTGTCATGAGCAGAGTGCAGCCCATTCCCCGGCCCTGAAGCCTGCCCACGTTGCCCCCAGCAGGAGGGCGGGGACAGGGCAGGAGTCGGGTCCTACTGGCCTGCCCCAAAACGCCTTACATTAGGTCTTCTGAAGTCTGGTAGTTGGGGAACAAACTCTATCCCAGGGACATAAATATCCTGCCTGTTACCAGTGGGACATGTTTCAGAACCAGCCTAAGGCCTTCTTCTCCGACCAGGCCGCGGCTAGCAGCAGTGTCCCTGGGCTGTCACACACAAGGCACAGGCGCGCCTTGGGCTGCCTTTGCCCGCCTTTGTCAGAAAGGCACAGTTCCCTCGGAGCTGCCTTTCCCTCTTTTTCTCCTGCTCCCCATATTCCAAACTTAAGCAGGCACTTACAAAAGTAGGGAACTGCTGGCTTGACAGAAGCAAAGACAGGTATCGACAGCTGAAGTCTATTAATAAACACGTAAGAAGAAACTTAAGTTTGGAGACCCACCTACAGAGAGAGAACTGGTCATAACACTTAGGGCAGAGAGATGGGCCCCAAATTCAGGAAGAACAAGTCAAAGCAAGCAAGACGAGGAAACCCAAAAATCATCAAGAACGGAACTGTGGACAACCCCGTCAGCCCAATGTCAACTCCTGTGGGAGCACAGCCTGACGGTGACAATGACATCAGCAGCAAAAACGGAAGGGAATGGGAGACGTCAGGACGAGGTGTAGCTGTAACTCAAAAGTGGCCATCGATGCATTTTACTCAGGTATTTTATAATTTAACAGGTGAGTTATGCTCAGCTACTCTTCTTGGAAAAAATAACACAGATGATGAATGTAAAGCTCATTTATAACTTTATGATAGGAAATCCTAAAAGTAATTCCCCAAACGCACTGGTTCTAGGGCCTTCCAATCTCCTGACCCCCCTCACGCCCCCACCGCACACGTACAAAAGAAACCCCACGCAAGACATAGGTTGAAGACGACACTGTCACCATCAACAGGTAAGGTGTCTGCTCCTACCATATTTAGGATGCCGCTTAGTGGACAAATGTTCAAAACCAAGAGGGCCTCTTTCTTCGTGCGTCAAGGACCCTGGAAGAGCTGCTGGTTCCGAAGTACCCACTGCTACCTTTTAATGGTTATGATTAAACCAGAAAGTTGGTCCCCAGTTTTCTGAAGTTATTCAGCACTGACCTACAGTTTTAGTAAAACACTTACTATACTTGCACATATTCATGTCGCAGTCTTCGTATTTATAAAGGTGACAGATTACAGAGATGACTGTTAATACATGTGCATTTTCAGGTCCCCCACAGGTAAAAGCCTGTAAGTCAATCAGTATCTAATCAACTGTTTTATCTTCTAAATATACAATAAAACCTTATAGTTATATAACATTTGATACTTTTCTCAAAGTGCTTTCATACACATTATCTCAGTCATTAAAACGACATGGAATAGGTTTTTTTTTAAGAGAAAGGAATGCAGAACTAGGTTTTTGAAAACTTAAGTTGGTGCTTCAGTGCAGATTGCTGTGCTGCTGCTGTCTGTCCCTAAGCATGGATCCGTTAATTTTTTAAATCACTTAGTTCTCCTGAAAGCCTGCTTTGCTAGGGTTGCCATCACTCAACATTTGAATCCCTTAAGTTCCAAGAGTGCCAGGAGCATGTGCTCCAGAGTGTGCGGCGCTGTGCGGACTGATTGTCTGAGCCGCTTT